CACGCAGGCCCCAGGTGCCCGCCGGCCCAGCTGGGCCACCGTGGAGGGGCCGCCGCTCGCTCCCTTCCAGGCGGCTTCCGTTTCCTCCTCTGCGGGTGCCAAGCCCCTGAACAAATATTTTCCTGGAGCGGAGGAACGGCGGCTCCCAGGCTGAAGTGCTGGGAAGGGCACTGGCAGGACAGGTTCCTGGAACCAACCACGAGCAGCAGTGGCTGCCGGGCGGGGGTTGCTCTGCTGCCGGGGGCTGTGCCAGCCGGCTGCTCACCCTCCAGGCCGGAGCTCCGTGGGCTAAGTGGCCACTGCGGACGCCTTTGCACTGGCTGGCCTCTGCCCATAAGTGAGGGTCCACTGTGGGCCATGGGGCCTCCCTTGTTTCTGCCGCAAACCTGCGGCGGGATTTAAAGGGACTAATTAGCATCTCAGGAGCCCTTTTGTGAGTGTTTCCCCTTTTATTTCCCTCTTGCAGAGTAACACGGAGTATGCGCTCTGTGCAGCGTGGGAGCTTCTTTGTATATGCGTTTGCCCTGGTAATCACCACCCACAGCGGGCCAGAGGACACTTCACAGAACCTCCAGAGAACCCCGGAAGGTTCCGCCGTGCCCCACCTTGTCATAGCACACCTGCTGGAGGTGCCCATTGGCTCCTGTCACCAGTCAGCTCTGCCAGCTTCTGGGCTTCACAGATGCCTTTTGTGTCTTGGCGTGTACCTGGGATGCTCATCCGTGCTGTGCATGTGTCTGTCTTTGGTCCTTGTTAGTGCCCAGTAGTATTCCACTGCGGGGCTGTGCCACAGTTCAGCTGCTCTGCCGATGGCCCTGTGTCCCTGTGTAGCCGCGGTGACCAGAGCTGCTGCGAATGCTCTTACAGACACTTCCGGCACACACACGCTCCCGTCTCACTTGGATCACAGGGGAGGTGAGTATTTAGCCAAGCCACACCATCTGCAAGTGCTCAGCTGGGCTGGCACTCCGCCCGCAGCCTAGGAGAGTTTGCCCCCCTCTGGGCCCGCCTCTGGTGCCACACTGCCCTTCCTAATTCCAGCCATTTGGTGGAGGAGGGGGGTGCTATGGTTCTTGGGCTTTCAAGGCAGGACAGCAGCTCAGACAGCCGCGATGCACCCTCGGGCTGTGCCCTGTGTGTGGTGGCTCCTGCTGGGCCTCATAACCCCTGCCCAGGAGCAGCCAGAAGCCACCGTGGACACAGAGGTCTGTGGAGAGCTGGCAGGTGCCTGAGAGGAGTGCCCAGAAGTGAGAGGGTACAGCACACTCACCCTGCCTCGATCTGGGCACATGCACACACACCCTTGCACACTCAGGGTGGCAGCTCATACCCATGGACAGGTACAAGAAGTGGGGTGAGGCAATGTTGGGAGTCAGAGCAGCAAGCAGGGGCCTTTGCCCTGCTGGGCAGAGCAGGCCATCCCCGCTCTGCAGGGCAGAGTCTCTGGGCCCAGGGCTGCTGCTCTGGGACTCTGCTCCCTGGCTCGGGGACCCCCAGCTCCTGTGTATCTAGCTCTAGGGCCCAGCTTGCCCCAACCCCCATGGCCACTCAGGAGAAGGGGCTCGAGGAAGCCTTGGATCAGGTGGCAACCCGGGGGACCCCAGAGCCACAGGCAGAGGCCTGTTCTCCCGGGAGCCTGGCACCCAGGCCAGGAGGGGCAGGAAGTCACCCAGCACAAGGCCTGCTGTCCCTTCTCCCCTGGGAGTCCCCATGCTCCTCCCTACACCTTCTCCCTGGGGCAGGCGTGGGATCCCACCTGAAAATACCACTAAGCCGCTAAGCTCAAAAACCAGGCCTGCCCCCACCTCACCGCGGCTGGGCCTCACTCCTGGGCCTTGTCGCTGCCTCCTTCCACCCTTGGTCACCCGCTCTTGCTACATGGCCTTGGCCTTTGAACACACCAGCCTCTTCCCACATCTGCTGGCCTGGCACAGCCGTGGGGGCCTCTGGAGCCCACCCTTGCCCGAGTGGCATCTCCCTGCCATGAAGCCAATTTTATTTCGCCCTTCCAGACTGGTTCAAGGGCCATATCTGCCACCTCCAGCACCCAGACAGAGCTGGGTTCAATGCCCCCAGCAGCCCAGGTGGAATGTGGTCGGCACCACCATCAGATCTGCCTGGCCCCAGAGCAAGGGAGAGGAGAGTTCTGGCATCTGCATCTGAGATGTGTCTGCGTGTCCAAAGTGAAACCCCAGAAGCAGTGCAAGCACACAACCCAGTTGCAGATCCAGAATGTGACACAGTGACCCTAAGATGGCTCATTAGCTTAGAAAACACTGGAATACAAAAGGCTCTGCGGGAATCTGTGAGCCCTGTTCCTAGCAATCTGCAGACACGCAAACGGAGGCCCCACTGTGGGCACCCGCTAAGGTGGGGAGGGGGTGGGGAAGCCATGGGAAAATGGGGGCGCAGACATGGGGGACAGCGGGACACGGGGGACACACAGAAGGCAGGCAGAGACCGCCCGAGATGGGGCTGCCCAGGGAACTCTGCTGTGCAGCTTTGCAGTGAGTAAAGCCTGCTCCGGGGCTCGATGCGGTCCTCACGGGCCCCGGGGAGACCACACAGATCATGAGGGCACGGCAAGGGAAGACAAGACAAATCGTGGGAAGGAGGCAGGTCAGTCTACATGGACAGGAGCAGGATGCAAGGGTCGAGGGGACTGGGGTTTCGGAAACTTGCAGGTCCCCTGTCAAACCTCCATGCCCTCACCATCCACCCCACGGCCCAGCGGAACATGGGTGCTCTGTCTTCCTTGTTCGCAGCATGAACTGGAGGCCCTGTCTCAGGCCCCTAACTCTCAGGATGCGTCACTCTGGTGACTGGAATCTGCCACCCTGCCAACTACCTGGAGTTGCAGTACCTGCCCATCCGTAGGTGCAGGAGCCAGGAAGGAATGGCCCCGCCTACTCGGCACTGCCCAGGGACCCAGGGACCCAGGGCCCGGGCTGGCTGCATCCATGGCCAGGAAGTGGGTGGGCCAGCAGCCTGGACAGCTCGTGGAGGCAGCTGGACCCCCAGAATATGGGTCTCCTTCGGTGCCCTGCGCTTCCACCCCAAGTCCTTGCTGTCCTTTGTGTCCAGTGTAGGGATGATGCTTCCAGGCCTTGGACACTGGGACTGTTGGCCACTGTGTTGCAGTTTCTGGGCTGATGAGAAAACTGAAGAGCAGTGAACTGAGAGCCAGCAGGGAGCCACTCGTGTCCTGAGGAAGGGTCCGACCCAGTCAGGCCCTGAAGCATCGGGCCGTGGCTTGCGTGAGGAGGGCAGGGATGGGCTCCGTCTTCCCTTGTAGGAGGGGTGGGTGCTAATCCCACTACTCTACACGGGGCCGGAGCAGGCCCAGAGCAGCCTCCCATCCTGGGAAGGTGGCAGGGCAGGACCCAGACAGGCCGAAGAGACTGCACGCCACAGTGTCTGCTGTCCACAAGGACAAGTACCGTTTATTGCAGTTACAGGAAAGGCCAGCCAGGGGCATGGGCAGCATCCCGCCCTGGGCCACGTGCAGGCGGACACTCCCGCAGAGTCCAGGACCGAGCAGGGCACAGCTCCCCTCGCAGCGGTGGCGGCGCACTCTCTGGGCCTCAGACAGCAGCTGGAACATTGTGAGTTAAATAAGAGAGGACAGGCAGTCCAGGACCTGGCCGGGCTTCAGATGCCCTGAAGGTGTGGAGGGCCGGCATGGGGTCGGCGAGATGGGCCTGGCTGCATACTCCACTGGGCCACGCAGCCCGAGTGGAGAGTCCCACTTAAGACACCTGGCCTCAGACAGCCTCACACGAGTCTCACCCTGCCAGCCTCCAGAAGGCTTTTAGGCAAAACAAAACAAAACAAAACAAAAAAGGATAAACCAGAGGGACTCTGGACCCAGAATCCATTCCCTCTGGACAGACAAAGGCACAAAGCCTCTAGCAAAGCTTTCCCAAGCCACCAGAGTTCGGAAAAAGGCTGAACACGTCCACACAACAGCCTGGAGAAGGAGCGAGGCAGCAGAGTTCACAGGACTCCTTTACATCGAAGTTTATTACATTTGGAAAATCTACTGTACAGGGAAAAACCCATTGGATTAAGTAGAGTTTTGCCAAAAGCAAAAGACTATCACTCTTTGGAAAACATTCCTGACTCCAGCCCAGCAGCAGCCACAGGAGCCGAATGAGAACTTGGTTCTGGGTGGAGGAGCCAGCGGTGGCCGTCGTGCCTGACACCTCTTGTCCTGGAATGTCACAGTGACCTGGGCCACCACCGTGCCCTCGAGTTTGTGGACACAGGCAGGACTGCCCAAGAGGTGGCCACCCCAGTGCCTGGACTGGCCAGCCCACCAACAGGCCACCAAGCGGACCACCCATACCCTGTTGCACATGAGTGGCAAACTCACTCGAGACAACACACAAAATACCCTGTGCTTGGCTTCCAGGTTTGGTTCTCCTAGTTTAAAACAAAAACATAAACAAAGTCTTCTTAACCCTGATGCTCTCCCCTGAACGTAGATTGGGTTCTCAAGACGGGGACACCAAATCAGCTGGCTTAACTTACCTGGGGAGTAATGAGGTCTACTGGGGCTACGAACAGAGGAACAGAGGTATGTGCAAAAACAAGCTGGTACCTAGAAGAGACCTCCCCAGGCAGAAAGCAGGTTCGGCGGCCCCAGCCCAGCCCAGCCAGCGTCTGTACAGTAAGTGCTATGGGGTCAGCGGGTGCCCCTCCCCAGAGTCCTCAGCCACAGCAGGCCATCCAGGTCCAGAGCAGCAGGGTCTCCTTTGGCACTGTGGCTGGGTCTGGGAAGGGCCACTCCGATGTGGAGAACTGAGTCAGAGTGGCGGGGTGGGGCGCCGGGTGAGGCTGTGGTGGAAAGGCCAAGCCTCCAGGCGGAAATCAGAGGTGCGGAGTGAACGGCCGGCACACGTGGAAGGAGCACCCGAGGCCCCGTGCCGGGGGTAGCATGTGGCAGGGGGGCCAGGGGCTGCAGTTCTTCATGAAGAGGCAGAGGGGGCCTAGTGAGTGGCAGGGACAGGGGAGGAGCGTCGGTCCTCAGGCGTAGAACTCCTCCTGCTTGGTGGGCTTCTGGTAGGCGCCACCGTTGGCTTGCTTGGGCTCCTCCAGGGAGTAGCTACCCTCATCCTTCTTCTTCATCCGGTACAGCATGAAGCCCACCAGGCACATGGCGAGGATGAGCCCCACGACGCCTCCGGCGATGACCCCTAGGGCAGCAGAGGCCAGCTCTGCTCAGCGCTGCCTCCCCGGGCAGCACAGGAGTGGCTGAGCACGGACAGCCCCCGCCCCGGCCAGGCTGGCCTCCCCCACTCACCTCCCAGCACCTCCTTCCTGTCCAGGAGGCCCTGTGAGGCCCCCTGACCCACGGGGGGCTCGCTCCGGTCATCAGGCTCCACAGCGGCCACGGCCACGTTCTCCCCGGACGTGTCAAAGGTGAAGTCCTGGGCAGGGACACTGCATGGAGGCCAGCTGCTTCCCCACCCAGCAGCGGGCCCACCTCTCTGACGTCCACCAGCCTCCCTCCAGGACCCGAGGCATGTGTACCCACAGCGTCTGGAAGGCCCTCTCGTGTGACCTTGCTCTGACCTTCGTCCTGCTGCGCCCTCAGAGGGCAGGTACAGTGTGCTCAAGGAACACAGGGCAGAGGGGCCCCCCCAGAGTCCCTGAGGCCACTCACCTGCTCCCCAGAGCCCTCTCCTGCCGGCAGCTGGCTGGGGGCTCCGTTCTCGGTGCTCTCGGTGGCGGAAGGGCTTGCGCCCTCTGCACCAGGGCTGTGAAGGCCGGGCTGGCCCGGCGCTGTGGGAGTGGTGGTCTCGGCGAGCCCAGGGTGCACGTCCCCATGGGGATGGGCAGTGGAGGGTGCCGGGGCCTCCGTGGCTCCAGCTGTTGGGGTCCTCTGGGTGGCAGGGGCCAGTGTGGTCTCCCTGGGCTCGGGCTTCAGCTCCTCCTCCTGGGCAGTGAGGTCAGGCCTGGCCTCCACGAGCACAGCCGCCTCTCCCTCCTCAGGCCTCTCTGCAGCCGGCAGGACAGGGGTGGAGCTGGCTGTGGCCTCCCTGTCACTGGGCTCCGGCACTGTGGGCATGACCGACAGCAGCCATGTGTCCTTCCCAGTGGAGGGGGCCTGAGGGGATGCGGTGATGTCCTGCCAAGCACCTGAAGCAGGCCAGGAGCACAGTGTCAGGAGGGCCGGGCACAGCTGGGACTCTGCCTGCCCAGCCAGCGCGGTGGCCCTGCCTCCTGAGGGGCCGTGTCCCTCGGCGAACAGCAGGAGAAAGCGGTCTTTTCCCACTGCAGCTGCCCAGGACAGCCTGGCCTCTGAAGCCAGGCGGACCCAGGGACACCTGAGAAGCAGCTTCCACGTGAGCCTGGGGCGGGGTACAGGCCCTGCCTGCCCTCTCCCGGAACAGGTGCCTGCCTCCTGCCACCCAGTTCTCAGGCCAAGCAGCAGGCTCTGTGCTGCCTCACAGCTCTGTACCTTGGGTTGGGGTGGTATGGCTACTTTACAGGTGTAGACAAATGGTGCTGCAAGCCTGTGATCCTAGCACTCAGGAGGCTGAGGCAGGAGGATCACCATGAGTTCAGGGGCAGCTTGGGCTACACAGTGAATTCAAGGCCAACCTGAATTACATAACAAGACCTGTCTCAAAACAAACAAAAAACCCCAGATGGGAGCGTCAAAGCTCAGCAGAGGCACACAGCTTCCTAAGGTTGGTTCCAAAGGCTGCCTGGTAAGCAAGGAGGAGAAGGTGTGTTCAGGCCTGCATGTCTTCCTGGAGCATTCTCCACATCGAGGTAGCTGCAGCACAGACCCCCACACCCTCCAGCGCTGCCCTTCCGACCCATCTGGGTGGGGACACATCGGAGACCACAGCCCACTGCTGTCCTGCACGGTGTCAGCCTTACCTGCACCTGAGCCAGAGAAGTTGTCGGAGTCGTCACCAGAGCCATCCTGGTCTTCAGGAGGAATGTTTGTGGCCACAATTTGCTGGAAAGGATGAGAGCAGGGCCTGAGCCAGAGTCCATCCTGCTCAATCGAGTGGACAGCGCGGTGACACCGTAGGACACCCTGCGCCTGGCAGGACCCTCAGTTCCGGGCAGTCCTACGTCCTCACTGTACCCCCGAAGCTCTAACAACACAGACCACAGGGGCTTGAGGCGATGAACACAGTCTCGTCAGAGCCCCAACCTCTCAGGAGGCACAGGGTCTACACTGAGAGTCAGTCTTGGGGACCCCTGGCCAGGAGGCTTTTGAGCACCTCCAGAACAGCAGGATTATCCGGCCCAGAGAAGCAGTCTCCAGGTGTGCTGGACACCGGGCCAGGCAGGGTCCCAGAGGCTACAGGCCGGCATAGCTGCAGGGGTGAGCCGTCTACTGGGGCAGCCCCAGGCCTGTTTCCTCACCCACAGCAAGGACATGGGGAGAAAGGGCAGAGCACTCATTGGGCTGGGCACCACCAAGCCAACACCAGGAGGCTCTGCCCAGAGCAGGCTCCAGGAAACAGGCTGAGCATGTGGCTCCAAGAGGCCCCAGGTCCTGATGCTGGGCCACCCTGCAGCACCGTGGACAGGCTCCAGAAGAAGGCAGAGCAGGGCAGGGGTCCTGCACTGGTACCAGTGGAGCAGGGGTGGGAGGGAGAACCCAGCAATCAGGGGTGGGGGCCGCTCTGAGATCCTGCTAGGCAGTGAGCCTCCAGTCCTGGCACCCCAGCCCGCCACACCTTGAATCCCACAGGCTCTGTGGGGAACATAACAGCACGAGTAAAGAATCAGAACAGCTTAGTTCAACACAGGATTTCAGAGACCCCCAACTTCTGCCACTTACGGAGCAAGTGACCCTAGGACATCACCACACCTCTTCAGGCTTCATCTCTCCCTGTAAGCGGGCCCATGAGCACATCTGCACTGCAGGAAGCAGGGCCACCCAGAGGAGGTCCAACAAGCAGCCCTAGGCCTGGCCACAGGGCCATGGCCTCACCCAGCAGGGGAACAGAGCAGGGAATGACAGACAGGACCTCTGGGGCAGAGCCAGACTGGGCAGAAGGTCTACATCCAGGAGCGGGCACACTTCAGCCATGAGCGGAAGCTGTAAGGCTAGAAGTAACGCTCGACTTCCTCTGAAAGCAGGAGAGCCAATGGTATCTCCCCCCGGCCTTCTCTGGACTATCCACAGCTCACCCCTCGTCCCACATCAGGCCACATCTGTCTACATTGCCCAGATGGGCTTCCAACACCTGTGCCACCTCCACACCGCTGCCCCCAGACTCCCCTAAGGCATCCACGTCAGCAGCCTCCAAAACTCCCCCCAGGTGATGGCCCACCCCCTCCCTAGGCAAGAAAGCTCAGGATGGGCAGATCTTCAAAGAGCGGGGAAGCTGGAGTCCTGAGCAGGCCATCCCTGCCCAGCAGGGGAGGCAGCTGAGGCCAAGGAGACCTAAGCCAGAGCTGGGTCCAACCGGAAGCCTGGAGAACACCTGAGGCTGGCCTTTCACCTACAGGAGAAGCCCCAACAGGTTGTTTCCCAAGTTAGATAAGGCTGGGTCTGACGGCCCTAGAGAAATTTGTTCCCTCTGCTCTGCTTGGCTTATCCCTATGTGATCTTGTTTACACAACAAGCTCTTAAGCAAATGTTTTTCCCAAAGAAACTGGCACACCAGCTCCCTGGCCTCTGGAGCCAGTCTCCTCTGGGTCACCAGTCTCTCTGAATCCCTGAGCATCTCCAGCCGGGACCCTGCACAATGGCATCTCAGGAGGAAAAGGAGATTTCGGTCCTGGGGAGGGAATTAGCAGAGACTGCCGAGTCTGAACTTGGATTACTGAGGTGCCAGCTGACTGGAGACTGGGTGTAACTCTGGTTTCACTTAGCAGGCTTCTTATGCTCCCTGCACGCGGAAGGGTCTCCCCAGGGTCACCTCCGACCTGGGTCCTTCCAGAGTGCTTGGCCGCTGCTCGGGGCAGCACAGACACCGACCTCACACCTCGGAGGACCCGAGACCCAGCTGCCCGCAGGACAAATCCAACACCTCATGATAAGGAAGGGTTCAGCTTTCTCGGCTTCTGCTCTCCAAAGCAAGGGCAGCTGTGCCCCTTCCCCCCACAGCACACACCCTAGAAGCCCAGTGATTTGAGCACCCAAAGCCAGAAGGTTGGCTCCTCTGGGGCGGAGGCATTAAGGGGGCAGACGCGGCGAGTCTGGGAGACCAGGAGGAACAGCCATCTGTCTGCCTGCGTGGACAACTCAGAGAGAGGCCGGCGGGAAAGGCATGGAGGCGTGGGTGCTTCCCGCCACCACGCACAGCAGGCTGAGGTCTGGTCTCTGACAGAAGCGGAGCACAGCCAGGGATTTGGCTCCGTGGCTCCCCTGCCTGCCTCGAAAGTGCAAGGACCCGAGTTCGATCCCTGGTACTCCCCCAAAAGAAGAGGAGCACAGCCTGACACCGGCCAGCGGCCCTCATCTTGAGGCTCACCTGGCATCCTCTCCCTGTCCACCTCCACGGCTGAACTCACCCATCTGAAGGAAAGCCTGCCTAAGACTTTTCAGTGTGGCCACAGGCTTAGGGGTAAAGGGACGAGAGCTTCCCAGAACAGGAACCCCTGAGCCCACCCCGTAGCTGAAGCCCCCTGTGCCCTCCTGCCCTCCAGCAGGGCAGAGGAAATGGCACGGCCAAAACAGAGTTGGGCAGAGAAAGTCTTCATCCTGCTTCCTTCACACCCAGGGCGCATCTGGAGCTGTGGGCAGAGAGCTGGCGGGAAGCTTCTAGAAGGCAGCCGCAGCCTCAACCTGCCTGGAAGAGGCCCTGCTCAGCCGGTCACTGTGAGCGAGCCCCTCGGCCTAGTGCCCAGGGCCACTGTGTGGACTGCACAGAATGGACTGCACCTCGCTGGGCATCTGTGGGCATGCAGTGCCTCAGTTGTTGCGAGCCAGGTTGTCAAGCTGGTGTCCCCAAGAAATTCTACTGAGTACGGTGGACACTGGTGCGAACGAGGGGGTGCCCACCTGTCCTCACGTCACCCTGCAGCCACCAAGTCCAACCACCACCCCAAAACGCGAACACATCACCTGCTGCTTGACTAGAGTGATGACTAAGACTCCAATCCCTGGCAAAGCTTTATGGGCATCACAGGATCATGTTGCTTTTTCAACCAATGTGTTCTAAATGTAAGGAAGTCACAGAACTTTGATGTTAGATGGGGTGTTCGACTTCAGAACTGTGGGACCATCATGCAGAGGTGTTGGGGAGAAAATAGGGTATGAAACCATTTGGCTTTGGCCTTGGCAGAGCTCCCAGCACCTGGATGCTAATCCAAGGGCTTAGGAAGGGGAGCTGTAAAGGATGGGGTACAGCAGGCCCCCTAAAGAGGACACTGGGCTGGACCCAGGAGTAAGACAGTGCCACCCCAAGGAGTGAGCCTGGGCGGTGCTGGGAACCTTTGCACCACAGAGCAGAAAGGGAGGTGAACCGCGGGCTACCGCGCTGTCCCAGGCAGTGACACAGCCCTGGCCTCTGTGGGTCACTTAATCCACAAGTCCCATCAATCAGTCACACAATCGGAGACAAAGAACTGGCTTTACCAAAGGGGCCGGCCGCAGCCTTTGCTAAGCAGCTCTGCTCTGCTCCGGGCTATTGGTCAGGAGGCTCCGGGTCTTGGTCCAGGAGCCCCGGCCTCAGAGTCCAAGGGCAGCGGGCCCTGCGGTGAACCCCGGATAAACACCCACCACTCCCTGTCTACTGAATCCCACGCCACAGCAAGTGAACTGGGAAGGATTAAACATATTCTCAGTGCTTAGAAGTCAGTCTCTCTGGGGCTTGTGTTTGGTGTTGTTTGTAGTACTAGGGATTTAACTCCGTGCCTTTCACACTGTCCTACATTCCCCGCCCATTTTTACAATTTTTTTTTAATTTCAAGAGCAGGTCTGGCTGAAACGCTCCGACTGGGCTTGACCTTGTGACCCTTCCTCCCCAGCCTCCGCGTGCTGCCCCTGCTGCGCTCTCTGCTTCTCCATCAGATCTGTGGGTCTGGGAGACTTTGCATCTGGGGCCTGAGGCCCCGGAGCTGCAGAACCCTGGCTCCACCATCCGCTCTGCCTCCCACACTGGGCTGGCCCAGTTCCCTCCCCAAGGAGCTGAAGGAACCTCCACAGGCCCACGACGACCCACGAGGCAAGCACCAACTGTCCGTCTCTGGCCCCTCCCAGGACACCCCGGCTGCCCACCCAGCACTGGCCCCTCAGCGGCTCTGACACCTCAGTGACAGCGGCAGGCACAGGGCACCCGGACACCATCTGCAGTCTCCCGGAAATCTCCCACTCCCACTCGGGGAGGGCAGGCCCTGGGGCACCACCAGCACTTGTGGGTGACAGGCGCAGTGATTTATCAGCTTGCTGTTCCACTGAGTCAAGCTGGCACCTGCCAAGGGAGGTGGCGGGCAGGAGTGGGCAGGCAGGAAAGGGAGCGGGCAGCCCTGAGGACCCGGGCCTCAGAGGCCCTAACCTGCGTCCCGTTCTGGGGGCTCCGGGTGGGTCGTGGCAGCCAGGCGCTTTCCCCACACCGCCCGCCCATGCTGTCTGTTCTCAGAGGGGCTGCGGACAGGGTCAGTGCTGACGCCACTCCTGCACTCCGGCCCATGGGGCTGGCGCCTGCCTGCTGGCCTGCGTGCCAGGACTAGTCTCAGACTCGTTCTGCTGCTGCTCCCCACTTGCCCAGCCCACGACTGCCCTGGGAGGAACAAGGCTGCCCGGCCCACGCCCAGCGCCTCCTGCCTGGCGTCGCTCCCAGGATGTGTGTGTGGGGGGGTTACTCCACAAGACCCCAGACCCTGCCCCCACGGGGTGGCCAAGGGGGCACAATCAGACCCAGGCTCTGCCCCTCACTGACACCCCTGCTCGGGCTGCCACCACACAGGGGGCTTGGGCCAAGCAGTGTCCAGAGGGTCCGTGCGACTGCTACCTGGGGCACTCGGCATAGCGGGGGCTGATCAGCAGCACAGGCCACGGTGGGCGACGGGTGCCTGCTGTCACCCCCTCAGCATTGGGGCACCTGGGGTCAGCACCCCACAGCCTTGGGGACTGAGGGGCCAAGGCCTGTAGGGCTCTTCCTCCCCACCCCTAGGTGTCAGCCTCCCCCATTGGAGTCCCCAGCACTGCGGGCCTTAGGGGCCGACATCCTCCCTGCAGTGGCTGACCAAAGTACCCTCATGCTTCACGGAGGCAGAAACTACAGTTTCTGAGACGTGCAACCAGCCAGGACCCCGGGGAGCTGTGTGGCAGGAGGGCCGTACTTCATGTCTATTGCTAGCGTCTCTCTGTGTCCCTGCAGTCACACTACAGCCCTCTAGACGTACATGCTTCTGGGGAGGCAGAGGGGTGCTAGCCACTCACACTATAGCATAAATCAGCTTCCTATGGGGAGGGGGCTGATTCTGGAACTGGGACTCTGGGCTGGGATAGGCGCTACAGGAGATGGGAAAGGGTTACAAAAAGGAGGCTGGTAGATGCCAAGAGCAAATTTTTTAACCTTTGTCAGACTATGGAAGCCAACAACATGCTACCCAGGAAAGAGATTCAGCTCCTTCTGCTCTGCCTGGAGCCATGGCACCTGTGGCTTTCATCCCACTTGTAGAACACTGGGTCGGGCCTGGAGCGCGCCTCCTAGACACAGCACAGCTGGGACTGAGGGGCACTGGAGGGCTGCTCAGCCCAGGGCATGGCACCCCCGAGGGTCTCACGGAGCCAGCCTGGCCCTCCTCGGGGCTGCTGGAAAGTCTACGGAGGCCCTCACTCCTAGGCTGGGTCAAAGCAGCGCAGCCCTTTCATGGACAGCTCGCCTTCTCTGACCGGCTGGGAGATCACACTGCCTTCAAGCCCAGGGCGAGCTTCGGCCCAGGCCCGGCGGCTCGGTGAGCCAACAAAGGAGCAGCCACGACACCAGGCCGGGACTGGGGCCGGAGAGGAGCCTCGGGACCACCTGGGCTGGGGCTTCAGTAAAGGGCAGAAGCAGCATCTTGAGCCTTGAAAGACAAAGAACAAAAGAGCACCGCGGCTGCTGTGGTTGAGGAGGGGCCAGGAGCCCGCTGCGGCTCCTTCCCTGCATGAGTGGCCTTCTCCTGGCCCATCTTACAGACAGAACAGTCCCCAGCTGCGCTCGGGCTGGCCAGGGCCCCCACCCTCAGAAGAGCGGAGCCGCAGTCACTGACGAGGCACAGGGGGAGGGCCGCCCCACTGCAGACTGCGGCCCCGGTGTGTGGGTTCACCTGGCCTCCTCCCGACTTGGCAGCCCAGCTTGCACGGCCCAGGCGGGACCAAAGTCTGCGGCCAGCTCAGGCTTCTGGGAAGAGGCAAAGCCATGTTTGCAGACCCCGTGTGTCAGTGCCAACCGGCCAGGGACACAGAGGGGCTGCACCCTCTGGCCGTGGCCCCCAGCTTCCGCATGGCAGCCCGGCCTCTGCTCTCCCTGAATTGGCAAGCAAGGGCCCCCAGTGAGACCACAGGAGTTACCCCACTAAAGCTCCTCAGCAGCCCCCAGGCAGGATGTGACACCCCATCTTACAGAAGAGGAAACTGAGGCAAAGCGAAACCAGGGAGGCTGTGCGTGATCCACAGGGATGAGGCCCACCCAGCCCTTCTCTCTGCCCCAGCCCAGGTCTGGGGTCCCCTCCTCCCCTACCTCAAGGCTGCAGGACTCCAGAGTGTGCCCAAAGGTGGGCACCCCAGGATAAACCTTCCACTGGCTAGGAGGACTCAGGAGGGGCTGAGTCACGACCGCCCTGCCCTGGACCGGGGTCTGCGGGCTGGTGACTCTGTTCTGACAATTCCCCCGGCCCAGGATGCCAGTCCTGCCTGACTCACCAAGCCCTCGGGTCTTCCGGGTGCTACATCACCCAGGCCTCACCAGGAAGCCAGCTGCACTCGCCCCAGGCCCTGCCCCCTGAATCCCCTATGCCCATCCAGGAAGAAGTGCAGTCCGCCTGGGGACTGCTCTGGGAGGGCCAGGTCAGCCCACAACAGTCTCTGCCCACTGGCTGCAAGACAGCCAACAGCCTAGGGCCCTGCGAGCCCCAGCCTGACGGCCACTTCCTCCCGAGCACTGCCAGAGAGGCCGGCTGGAGCCCGCAGAGCCCCTGGGAATCAGGGGTGTAGACAAACTGCTGCGAACCTGCACGGGCTGACACGATCAAGTCTCCACAGCCACGGCCACCACGGGGCAGCGTGACACGGAGACAGCAGGCCAGAGCTCAGGTCTTCACAGCCTCTCTGGGCCTGCTGTGCCAGCACGTGCTTTCCCTTCTCTCGTCCCCACCACCCTGGCCTGCTACCAGCATCCTGTCTCCTCAGCCTGCCAGTTCTGGGGCCCCCACCCGCCCGGCCCGTAGGTTCAGGACCCCACCCAGATTGGGCCCCAAAGGTAGGCAGACCGAGCCATGCGAGACCAGGCAGCTGCCCTTACAAAGGGAAACCAGGGGACCCAGGGGGCCCACGTGGCCACAGAAGGGCCTAGGTGGCCCTGGTGGAAA